GCACTTTAGGTTTGAAGTCATACATTTATGTTGAGACTAGTTAACATAACCTAGTGTTTTTATCTAGCCTTGTTTAGTGATTCAGGCTTTAGTGCAGAGCAGGGGGAGAGTTGGATAAGACTGGGGTTGGGATTTCTCCAGGAAACTGGCAGGAGAGAGGGGCCAGCAGAGTTGAATGTGTGTACAGAGAAGTGACTGTAATGGTGGGCCATGTAATACAGGCTGGGGAAAGATGCCTGAGGTCATGAAGAGGGCAGGGTCAACAAATTAGAATTTCTCATGGGGTCAAATAATTTTTGTAATGGGATTCCAGTGGGATCAAGCCGGACAGACAGACAGCAGATGGAATCATCCTTGACTTTTCTTTTTCTCATAACCTCAGCAAATTCTGTACAATCCACTTTCAAAATAAACCGAGACTCTCCACCACCGCCACCCTGGTCCCAGCCCCCATCATGGATCTCCTGCCAGGATTGCTGAACAGCTGACCAACTTGCCTCGGCTTCTATCTTCAACCCTCTATGGTCTTATCTTCATACACTGGCCAGACTAACGGCATTCAACGGCAAATCAGATCTTGCTACTCTCCCGACTCCTCCAGGGCCTGCCCTGCCCTCCCAGGAACAACAGATCCACAGTCCTCACCACAGCTGTCCAGGTCCGACACACGATCTGGCCCTCGGTTATCTCCTCAAAGCCATCATTGCCTCTCTTCCCCTTGCTCACTGCCCACCACTCTGGCTCTGGCTAGTCCTCCCACAGGACAACTGCGTCAGTGTCTCCAGACCTTTGCACTTACTACCTCTTCTTGCCAGAAAGCTCTTCCCCGGGATCTTCAGGTGTGGGAGGCTGCACTTCATTCTGAGGCCTGCTCTGATGACAGCCCGTGGACACTCAGTCTGAAACAGCAGCCCGGCACTCTCCTGACCACTGTTTCATTCCTCTTCACAACACTCATCGCCCCTGGTGTTACACTGTGTGTGTGTGTTTACTGTCGCTTCCCTCCGGTGGCAGGGACTTCGTCTTTCCCACTTGATGGCTCCTCTGGACCTACAACAATGCTTGGCATATTGGAGATGCTGAATGATACTTACTCAGGGAATTAATGAATAGCCTGTTCAAAAAGGCTCTGTTCTTGCCCAGAGAGCAATGTTACTCCACTCCCCACTTTCTAGATGAGAAATTAATGTCTTGAAGCCCCAGGTGAAACATCCAAAGAAGCACAGTGGCAGAGCTAAGACCCACAATCAGTCTCCCAACTCCTGGAAGGCCACCGCCCTCCCCGCCATCCACACAAACGCTCTTTGGTCCAGGTCCTTGGTGTGACTTGCCTATTGCAACAGCCCTATAACTCTTCTCCAGCAGACCTGGCCTTCCCCCAAGCTCCCCCATCTCCTGACTGCCCAAGTCAGAAGGATTTCTCTCTCACATATTACCATACGACAAACATTTACATGTAACATATAAAACCTTTTTATTCTGGTTAGTTCTCCCTACCTGGGAACCGTAAGTTCCTTGAGGCAAGTGCCGGTATCTTATTAGTCTCTGCGTGTCGCAGCATCTGGTGTGTAGCGTACACCCTTAAGAAACGTTTATTGCACTGACTGCTTCTTCCTCCTGGAATGTTCTTCTCCACGATTTCTGCATGGCTCACTCTTTTCGTCTCAACCACCCCTTTGCTCAGGAAGGCCTACCCTTTTAATTTAAATCTGCAACCTCCCCTCTGTCCTGTTCTGCTTTATTTTACTGCAGAGCTCACGCACTTCCTCACACAGCACCCTCGCTTATTTACTCTCGGTGTCTCACCATCAAATCAGGACACCATCGAGGGCATGGGGTTCTTCTGTTTGCTTCCCTGTTACCTCTCCAGCACCTCCATAGTCCCTGGCACACATGAGGTGCTAATAAATACTTGTTTTACAAATGAATGAAGATTCTGTGCTCAAGTAGCTCTGCTTAGGGACACCCTGAGGAGGGAAAAGGAACACGTCTGTGTCCCCAGTGACCACCTCTGATGGCTGCTCAGCCTGAGTTCATCGTCGTGACGGGGGGAATGGTACTGGGTCACAGAGATTAATAAAGACTTCTCACTCAGGGTGAATGTTCACTTAGCAGTAATTGTTCAGTGAACCACTGTCGAGAGGATGAGCCAATCATGCCCCAGGCACCGTGTGGGGTGCTGCCTCGACCTGAAGATGCTCTCAGGTACTAGTGACGGTGAGGGACCCACAGGAAGGAGAGAGAGCACAAGCACATGCAAAGGTTCTCACACCAGTTTCAGGACCTTTGTCACTGAAACAGCACTGAGTCTTGTTAACTTTATATAGTTAACAAGAAAAAGCATATTGTCTGGTAGAGAGCATTGTAATTAATCCAATCACTATAAATAAACAAAAGATGGAGAATGTGCTCTGAGACCATCAACTTGGACATGCAGTAGTGGGATGGCAAGTGGGTTTTCTGATGCTCCACGGAACTAAGAAATTGCACAGTTAATACAACACTGAATGATGTGGCCTAAGAGAAACGAGCATAGGAGGGAGGAAAGTTAATTAATATGATGGGATAATCTGTTAGTTGATGTTTAATTAATATATAATCATTTATAATTAACACATTATATAATTTGATATTTTATTCTGAAAAAAAACTCTTAGAAACTGTCTTGAGAAGACATTCAGATGTAATGATTTTAAAAATTTTGAACATAATTCAACTTGGTTCTATATACTTAAGAAAAAAAAACTCCCCTTAAATATCACTAACAGTATATCCCAAGGATTGCAAAATACTTTCAACCGAGAATATATGGCAAGGAGGATAGGTCAGATTTGGAAGCAGCTATGAGCGTCTGTTAGGGTCCAAATACAGCAAGGCACCAGTCCAGACCCTGTGACGGAGCCTGTGACTCAGCGGGTCTCTCCTGCCCAGCACACACCCAGGAAGGCCCCACTGCCCCTGGCCGCCATTTACAGAAGGAGCACGGGGCCCCAAGAGGAGACATGTCAAAGGTCCTCCCTGGCTCCTGCTCTCGTGGATCCCAGTGCCACCAACCACACCACGGGACTTCCTACACGCACGGGGGTGTCACACGTCACGGCACGTCAGGAGGACATTTACACAGACACTTGTTTCCATGATCATCATCTGCTGACTCGTGTCCTTGGGGTAACGATTCGTCTGGGAGAGGGCCACCTGGAGGGTCCAAGGCAACGCTCAGGAGTACAATCTGGTCCAGAGACTGGACGTCCCTCAGGTTTGAGCATCGTGGCAAATACACAGCTATGTGAGGATTCAGAAACTATGTCTCCACTTTCCAGATCACAAGATGCTGTCTTGGGGATGCCGACCTGCCACCAGGGGACTCTGTGCTCCCAGAAACTCACAACTTGTACAACCCACGCGTCTCACTGGGCCCATTATAAGCCCAGTTTTCCTCCTCCTCTGAGCAGCAGTGAAAGGCCGAAGTATATCTGGATAGAACACCTGGTGGGTGGGGGAGATGGCAGATGCTGGTGACAGGTACAAGCCCTCGGTTCCAAGATGAACAAGCTCTGGACCTCACGCTCAGCCCGGCACGTAGTCGGTAACTGCGCCGTGTCCCGGAAACGTGCCGAGAGTGGACCTAACGCACAGCCCGGGGCGCAGTCGGTAACTCTGCGCCATATCCTGGAAATGTGCAGAGAGGGTGGAACTTAAGCATCCTCGCCTCAGACACACAAGGTAACATGTGAGGTTAGGGGCGAGCTAATTAAGCTGATTGTGAGGATCATTTCACAAAGCATGAGAATGTCGAATCATCACCCTTTAAACAGATACATATTTATCAATTATAATTTAATAAAGCTGAAAAAATTTTAAATCAAAACAAAATCCTCACTACATAATTCATCCTGATTTTAATTTTCCTTACTCACGCCAAGAGAAAAAGAAAACTTTTTAAAGTTGAAGACAGATCAATTTTGAAATAGCTGCTTTTCTTCTTATAGTAAGAGACTGTATATTTTAGAGTCTCAAAGGCCTAATCTACTACGTGAAAACACCTATAAAGAAACAGGAAAAACATTTTGTAATAAAAACCTGGGACCAATCTTCATTACAAAACCAAGAACTTAAGGTACTAATTTCCCATTTTTGATCAACTGTTATCTTACTTTTTTCTCTGATGTTATTTACCCATTTGAGGAAGGATAATAAATTTTGAATAATGTTCTCCAAACAATAAGGCATTTGTGTATTGACCTAATTCCACTGAAATTTCTTAAATTAATTAAAAATGGTTTCTAACCAAACCCTGTTCATCAAACTTGAAGTAATTTGTGTCAGTCCACATTACTGAATAAAATGAAGATAAAACTACGGAAGTTAAAATCTCCATACACTGTTATTCTTTCATGTGCCTTTAGTACTGAGAAAACATATCTGTCCTCTGTAGCTTGCACATATCAGAAGAGATGGATGAGAGGAAGGCACGCAAACACGACCCTGCGCCAGGAGGGGACCAACCGGGCCGTCACGTTAAGTGAGAGCGCTGTCTGTGTCCCCTCCATACTAAAAACTCTGACCACACTGAAACGTGGCTTTTCCTGTATTCTCACAGCTCTTCTTTGTGATCTAACTGGGTTCACATGAAAAAACAAAACAACAGAAATAAGACCTTTATTTCTTCTACCCAAAAGAGAATCTTCAAAATGCACAAATACACTGATTATGTCCCTTTAATGAATTCCTTGAATCCTGACTTTATCTTTTTGTTTCTAGACTAATCGTAAAACTTAGAGAAAAGTTGCAAAGACAGGATTGAGAATTCCTTGTGTTCCCGCCCCCTAATGTTGACATGTTACATAATCGTGGTACATTTGTCAAAACTAAGAAATTAACGTGGGACAATACTACTAACTAAAAACAGACTTTATCCCATTTCACCAGATTTCCCGCTTATGCCCTTTCTCTGTTCTGGAGCCCAATCCCGGATCCCATGTGGAATCGAGAAGGCCTACCTTCTGATCTGATTCCTCATCCTCGTCCTGATCATCATGGGCCAGGGGGCTGGAGCTGGCTGCAAAGGTGGGCCCCTGGGAGTAGTACTGAGAACTCCGGGAGCCATCCTGCCGCAGCTGGTCACACTCTGGGTGCACAGGCGGGAGGGGAGAGAGGGCATGAAAATCAGAGTTTGTCGAATCTTCTTTAATTACCTTTTCTATAAGATTTCAAAACAATAATAATATTAATAATGAAAATGATGGTAAAAATGACTGAGAATTAGTCAAATCCCAACCACTCCATTAACACACCATGTTAATACACTTTCACTGGATTATCTTAAACCTCTGACAAGTTTAGAGTCATTAAAATTTTTGCTCTGTGATGTTATGCAAGTAAGCAGCAGACTCAGAATTTGAACCCAGGGTCTTAATTACTATAATTTTTGACACAAAATTTTAATGTGGATTATGTAACTCCACATTAAAAAAACAGGCAATTCTCCTGCTACGCTTATTTCCTGGACTCAGCAGCTGGAAGTGACATGGGAAATCATGGATTATAAGGCTCTCATTTTTTTAGTTCTCAATGTAACTTTGATGCCAAACAGCCTATAATCACTGTGCGGAATTTAACGTGAAGTCGGATGGTCTGGGATGCCTGCCAGTCCACAGAGGGACGCCTGGCACCACCAGGGGGCAGGAAACCAGGGGCAGGTGCCCTGCATCGGGGGGGATGGGGCCACTGGCGGCTTAAAGACCGGGGTTCTCTTCACAGAGGAGCCCCTGCACCGATGGCTCTCACCAGTCGTGGGAGCGGGAGCAGGAGGGAAAGTTCTCACGGCTCTGGGGCCCCAGGAGCTTCCTGTTACGGGAGCAGCACTGTCCCCGCAAAAGGACTCACCCGGGGTTCCTTTAAATACCCAGCACGCTGGAGGAATGCGAAACATGCTCGGTGTTGGAAAAGTCTCCTCTCTTTGTGCAGCTTGACAAAACCAGACAGCAAAGGCACAGACTAAAGCTGGGCATCTTCGGAGGCCTTCCTAACACGAGGATCTGCGCTTCTTCCCCAAAGAAGAGACACACTGTCACTTTAGTGGAGGGATAAAAACCTCCAACTGGGGAACAAAAATACCTCTCTCTCCTTTGTCCCTCACAGTGGGAGTGGAGAGGGAACATTTCCAATCCAGGACTGTAAGTCAGACTCTTAAAAATCCCCTGGCAATAGTCATGAGGACCTTTCAAATGCCAAACTAACTAAGAAATGCATACATAATCACAAGACAGCTGAACACCACTACGTCAGTTAATCACGGGCCAAATCCTTTGTGGGCTGGGCTGACACCACTTTTAATATTGAGTAAAATGGAAAACTTAAAAAAATTCCAAAACCACCAGAACACAACTTATTTTTTAACGAGGATTTACTAGTATTAACATAACCCTTCTCAGTGAGAAATATTTTCACGTTTTCTCCAATATTTGACAATTTCTCTAAAAAATAGTGCAATAAATAGTACAATCAGAATCCGCACGCTCACTCTACAGAGAAAATGTTCCACAAGCATGCTCAGTAGTTTTCAAATGTGGTTCTGTGCGAGTTTTGGGATTCTGTAAATTTTTGATTGGATTTTCTTTAACTAATTAATTTAAAGCTAGGATAAAAAAAATAACACTCAAACTCAATAGTTTTACATTCCATTAACTTGTGCTGTGAAATTAACTTTTCTGTGGTCCTATAAAACTGAAGTCTCTAAGGATTCAGGGCGAAGCTTGTGAAACAAACCAATAAAAACTGTCACCACTTGCAGCTACTCAGTAGTTCAGGTATTTTCAAATACCAGCCAAACACAACAAAATACAGAGCAAAGGCCAAGGCCCTTTAGACTAAGTCCTTCTGTGTTCAAAATAGTCTTTTTTCCCTCACGAATTAACCCTAGAATAAGTATAAGTTTCAAATGATAAAATTTTGTAATATTGCATATTGGGTACCATGTAAGACAGTGTCTGAAAAAGATTCCTCTGCTAGTTAATAAGGAGGGACTCCTAGTAGATCATCTCTAAAGGTGATATCAGTTCTGATATTCTCAACAATAATATTAAAAACAGCTAAAATGACTTGATACATATTAAATCTTAAAAGACCAAAATATTGCAAAATTATTATCCAAACATGAGAAGCATGAAAGTCTGACAATTATTAGTACTTCCAGTGTGTCACCTTTTGAGTCTGGTTTAAAAGACACCACCTCTCTTTCCACAATGAAGTTTATGTCACAAAAGTGTTTAAATAGTAGTATGTCAAATGATATCTGATGCTGGGTCTAAGATTAAAGGGGAGGCAGTATAAATTTATGGCAGATGACCAACTGTTTTATCATCAAATTTCTGAAATCTAGTAAACGCATCAATTCCATTGTCACTTATCTTATTCCAACTGGAGGGGAAATCTAGGAAAATTTCCTCTTGTCAAGTTGCAACAGCTCTCAGTGTCTACACCACAGCTTTGTTCATAAAAAACTGCGTTTATTGTCTGTAGAGTGGGATGTAAGTAATTGCAAGCTGTCATGAATAAACAAAGACTTTCAAACACTCGGCTGAGGGCGGCTGCGGCCCCTACAGGCTGGAAGCACGACACGGAACGTAACGAAAGCAGAGTAAGACGTGTTATGTTCTCACAGGGCTGCTCCCTGAACACGTCACTGTTCTTGTGTCCTCTGGTTTCCCAACCACAAATGTCCTCCTTCCTTTCATGTCAAACTATTCTCTTTAGTGCGAGAACAATGGACAAACATTTCTTGGTTGACCAAAGTTTTAAATATAGAAGAAAAAATAATGTCATAGAACTAGATGTTATCTAACCATCTCGTGAATTTAATTCTGCTTCGGCTCCAAACCTTCATGCATTAAGTTGCTATTTAGACTTTCCATTTTAATATTTTAGACACGTTACGAGAGTCTACTGCAAGAAGTTGTAAATTTAGAGTTATTTTCAAAATAATTTTCTCTACTGATGAATTTCCACTTTCTATGTTTTCTTTCTAAATATAATGAATCAGTCACAATGAGCTAGAATATGCAGCAGTTACAAACAGTTTCAAAATCTCAGTGGCTTAACACAACCAGAAGATTCCTTCCTGCAGAGTCTCCTTGTCCAGGCAGAGCCAGCAGCATCTCCACGCACCACAGTCACCAGGGACCAGGTGGAGGGCGTTCACCTCAACCCGCCATCAGGCGACAGTGCGAGGAGAAGCTAGTGCACTTCACACCGGCTCCGGGAACTTCTGCCAGAAGCAATCAGAGGTGACTTCTGCTCCTTTCTTTGGACAAAACAACCCCTATGGCCATACCTAACTTCCAAGGAGACAAGGAACGGCAATCCTGCCTCATAAGCAAAGGGGAGAAAGAGAACATCCACAAATAACTTCAATGACTCTTCCAAACGAGGGGTAACTGAATCTAAGGTTTTCCGGATTCTTGTCACCCATTCTCCCAACATTCAGTCAATGTTTATTTCCAATCCTTCTTGAAGGAGGGTGAGAGGTCTGATGTGGCATCTGCAGCAGCCAAGAAGAGCCACCTTCTGCATTTTAGTAGCAGGAGGTTAACTACTGGGAGGGACTCTCCACGGAGGAGCAGCTACAGTCCCGAGTCTGAGAGACCTGCACCACTTTCCCCCCACGAGAGCTGGGGCAGCATCCCAGCTTCCTGGAAACTCAGACCACCTGTAGAGCCGGGCTGTCACTCACGGGGAGGCCGTCCTGAGACTCATTCAGCAAAGGTTCCTGAGCGCTCTGCTCTCTGGAGGGGAGATGAGGGGAAGGCGCCAGAACTTTGCACAGAACCCTCCACGTGGCGGGAGCTCAGACACCGGTCATTGCCATCAGAATCCACCACACAAACCATAACTATCTGAACCTGCCACTTTTCAAAGCCAGTAAGCAATTCCATAACGAGATTTGCTTGGCTGCACAATCCTTTAAGATTCTACAATTTTACCAAGCCATTGTCTGCATCTTTACCAAATCATCACGAAGCTGTGTTTCTTTTCCTAAGCATGTACGACACTCATCCTGTGATTCTCTTACTGTCCATGGCCTCTCAATCCAAAATAGAGCTAAAATGTGTGAATTGAGCTAACTGCAGAGTTTTCAGTCATTATCTAGTTAGTTTACACAACAGGAAGCCTCACACTTAGTGGCATTTTCACACTGGAAGGGCATCAGCCAGGTGCTTGGTAAGTGGATGTGATGCATCGCAACTACTAAAGCAAGAAGAGAGGATCGAGGTGCTTTGATCGGAAACTATGTGCTATGGGTTGAACTATGTTCGCCAAAAGATTTGTTGAAGTCCTCACCCCTGGTACCTGTGACAGTGACCTTATATGGAAATTGGTCTTTTCTGATGTGAAAATGAGGTCATTAGGGTGGCCCTAATCCAATGACTACTGTCCTTATGAGCAGAGAAAACAGAGACACCGGGACCATGTGGAGACAGCGACACACAGACAGAGGGAAGACATCCAGGTGAAGACGGAGGCAGAGACTGGAGTGGTGCTGCCACAGGCCAGCGAGCACCTGAAGGGGTCACCAGAAGCTGGGGGAGGCGAGGAGGGCTCCCCTAGAGGTTGGAGGGAGCACGGCCCTCTGGGCAGCTTGATCTTGGACTGCTGGCCTCCAGACTGTGAGACAATAAATTTCTGTTGTTTTAAGACACCCAGTTTGCGGTACTTCATCACAGAAGCCCTAGGAAACCAACATAGTATGGAACCAGGAGATGCTAAGATGGAAATTCATAAGGATCTTCAAGGAACTGGGGGGAAATCCCTCTTGGTAAGAACCTTAGAGCATCGAGACTGCGGCAGGAACTGGGCATCCGGAGATGCCCATCGGACTCCTGAAGAGCTGAGCCACCCTGGGCAAGAAATAGTTGCTGTCAGCCTCAGGGACCAACCTTGAAGGTCCCAAGAAAAGTGCCCCTTTGTCAGGGGGAGAGGTGAGACATGTTAACTCAGCAGAAGAACAGAAACTACTGCATATTAATAACATTAACTCTGAGTGAGCTCCCTAAGAGTAAGCTCTGTTCTAAGCACTTTTCGTACAGTATTTACTCTGCACAGTGACCCTAAGAGATGGGGACTGCAATC